GATTGGTTGTGTAATGATTTTGGAATCCACGGATCGAATATTGTAAGGATATTTTTACCTTGTGTTTTATTTTGTTTCAGTCACTATGAATTTCATTGTTGGTGTCTTCTTTACAGGTTGTTGAAGAGAATGAGTTTATGAATGAAGATAGCCTTGAGGAAAACAGCTTTTGAATCATTTTTTTAAAGGTATCAATAACAATTCTTGGTTATGGTTTTAAATCATTTTTTTTAAAGGTATCAAGTACTAATTCTTGGTTATGGTTTTTTCATTGCAAGCTCTACTACGAGGGCACTTAGGCTGTGTTTTTCTGAAACATGCTTTTTTTTTTTTTTTTGGCACTTGACAACTTCTTTTTTAATTTATTTGTTGGCACTTGGCACTTGACAATTTGTATGCTCTTTTGAAACTGATTTTGTGATCAGTTTCATCATGTGGCTAGNTTTCATTGCAAGCTCTACTACGAGGGCACTTAGGCTGTGTTTTTCTGAAACATGCTGGTTTTTTTTTTTTTTTTGGCACTTGACAACTTCTTTTTTAATTTATTTGTTGGCACTTGGAACTTGACAATTTGTATGCTCTTTTGAAACTGATTTTGTGATCAGTTTCATCATGTGGCTAGTTGTTTAATTTGGTTGTTTAANTCTAGACAATGCATCCTCAAATGATGCAGCTGTGAGAAATTTGAAAGATAATTTTTTTGTTAAAAGAAAGCTTTATTTCAATGGTAGAATATTTCATGTTCAGTGTTGTGCACATGTTTTGAATCTAATGGTACAAGATGGCTTAGGTGAGATAAGAGATGTAATTGAAAACATACGTGAGAGTGTGAAATACTTGGAGATGTCTCCTTTGAGACTTGATAAATTCAATGAGATTATAAAACAATTACAATTGCCAACAACTAAGAGATTGATTCTTGATGTGCCTACTCGGTGGAACTTANTGAATTTTGTTAAAATTCAAGCCTGTTCGCAAGCCTGAATTCGATATCTTTGGTTAAGCTTTATACGAGCTAGAACTCAGATTCGAGCTTGTTAATAGAAAACGAGCCTAATCAATCTGAGCTTGAACTTTTCATTTTTTAGTCAAGCCGAGCTCGAGCTAAAAAAAAAGCTTGAAGATCGAGCTCAAGCCGAGCTTGAACATCTTCCTAAAATGTCAAGTCAAGCCTAAGCATGGTGATGCTCGTCGAGCTTGGCTTGATTATCACCCATATCTGNTTCAAATTTATTTCTTTGTGAAATTTGAAAAATTAGAAAGAATTTGAATGAGCATGAATTTGATAGTAGGGACTATATGAGTCACATGATTGCTAGAATGAGTGAAAAGTTTGACAAGTATTGGGGAGATTGTAACTTGTTGATGGCAACTNTGCGCTGAGCTATTTTTAGGTTGAAATTCTGCGATAAAATCTGCCACAACTTGGCCGTTTATCGCCTTTCTTGGTTCGAATCGAACATCGAACTCCCCTAGCTCCACTGCCCATTTAGCAACACGTCTCGACAAATTGGCTTTATGGAAGAGTGATTTTAACGGTTGATCAGTGAGTACTGTGATTTGGTGGCTTGGAAGTAATGTCTAAGCTTCCTGGCCGAGCTAATTATTGCTAGGGCAAGTTTTTCCAACAGAGTATACCTTGATTCTGCGTCCAATAACATCTTACTCACATAGAAGATGGGCTTCAGCTTTCCGCAATCGTTCCTCATCAACGCTCCACTTATTGCGTGCTCTGACACGGCCAAATAAAGGTAAAGTTCTTCCTCGGGTATCAGAGTTGATAAAATCGGTGGAGATGCTAAGTATGCTTCAAATTCGTAAATGCTTCCTCACATTCCTAACTCCATAATGCTCCCTTCTTTCCTTTGATTGACTGAAAGAAGGGTCTGCATTTATCCGATGCGCGGGATATGAATCTCCCTAGTGTTGTTGCCATTCCCGTTAGCCTCTGCACCTCTTTTACAATTTGAGGGGATCGCAGTTCGGCAATAGCCTTTACTTGCTCGGGATTCATCTCCATTCCTCGGTGAGTAACCAGAAATCCCAAGAATTTTCCTGAGCTGACTCCAAAGGCACATTTTGAAGCATTCAATTTCATGTTGTACGTTCGCAGAATCTCAAATATGCTTTTGAGATCGGCACAGTGATTTGCTGCCTTCCGACTCTTCACCACCATATCATCAATGTAAACTTCTATTGTACTACCTATCATGTGGGAAAATATTTTATTTACTAACCTCTGATATGTTGCCCCTGCATTCTTCAATCCGAATGACATTACTTTGTAACAGTACATTCTATTCGGTGTTATGAAGGCAGTCTTTTCTTGATCTTCCTCTGCCAGGGGGATCTGATGGTATCCCCTATAGGCGTCCAGGAAACTCATTTGCTCATGCCCAGCGGTGGCATCTATCAACTGATCTATCTTTGGCAAGGAGAAGCTATCCTTTGCACATGCTTTGTTTAGGTCGGTGAAGTCAACACAGACCCTCCACTTTTTATTTTTCTTTTTAACCACAATAGTGTTTGACAGCAAGGTTGGGTACTGTACTTCCTAATTGTTCGGGACTTCAATAAACGTACTACTTCTTCTTTCACTGCCTCCCGATGTTGCGGTGCCGACCTCCTTAGTTTTTTTCTGATTGGCTTGAAGCTTGGGTCGACGTTCAACTGATGACATGCTGCTTTCGGACAGCACGCCGGGCATATCAAAAGTGGTCCATGCCAAAAACGTCGGCATACTCTCGTAAAAGAGTGATGAGATCGATTTTCTGCTCAAAATTCAGAGCAGTCCCAAGCAAAAAGTACTTTTCAGGATCCCCATCCTTGCCTAAAGGTACTTTAGTCAAGTCTTCAATTGTTCGGTCTGTAACTTCCTTTTCAGTGCCTAAAGGTACTTTAGGGCCATCCTTGATAGCTTGATCAGTTTGTTTAACTGAGCTGTAAAAGGTTAATTGTTATTTTGCCTCCTCGGATATTAAGTTCTTCTCGCGAGCTTCAACTCCTCCTTGGGTTTGACCGAGGCTAACAAACAAGTTCTATCACTGACCTGGTTTCCTCGGATATTGACTACTCCTTCAGCTAAAGGGAACCTCAGCACCTGGCTGTACGTTGAGGGTACCGCCTTCATTGTATATAGCCAGGACCGCCTCATTATCGTGTTATACGCAGAGACCGTATCTACCACCAAGAACTCAGTCATGATGCAAACTGGTCCTATCTTTATAGGCAATGTGATCTTCCCCTTAGGAAGAACTATTTTTTCACTAAAGCCGACAAGTGGAGTATTTGAAGGCTTGAGATCCTCTTTCCTAAGTCCAAGTTTCTCAAATAGATCCGAATACATGATCTCTGACGAACTCCCCGGATCAATCAGCACCCTTCTTACATCAAAGTTCACAATCCAAAACGTAACAACTAGGGCGTCATTGTGCGGTTGGTGCACTCCGACCAAGTCCTGCTCGGTGAAACAGATTGTTTTGACTGACTCCTTTATCTTGATTCTTTTGTTGGTCACCTCTGGGGTCAACTACAGCTCATACACCTCTCTCTCATTGGCAGCTTTTTGGATGTAAGCCCGAGTAGAATTATTTGTGGACATCAGCGGGTTGGTGGCAGCATGGATTACATCAATCACCCCTGCTAGAGTGTTGTGGTCCCCATTTGCCTTAATCCTCCCACCATCAGATTTTTGCTTACCGTCTATGAACTCGGTGAGATGTCCAGCCTGGACCAACTCCTCCAAATGCTGCTTCAAAGATTGACAGTTTTCAGTCATGTGGCCCATATCCCCGTGATATGAACACCTGAAATTTGGATTCCTTTTGGACAGGTCTCTTATTAACTTGTTCGGCCATTTGCAAAATGGCTTTGTCTTAATCTAACTTAATATCTTATAAATTGGTTCCTTGAATAACGTATTTTCTCCCAGAAATGGGGACTTCTGAGGATATCCATCCTTCTCATTCTTCCTTCCTCCCTCTCTGTTTGGCTCGGTCTGCTTGTCTCTGCCAAACTGTCTCTTGCTCTAAGGTTCTTTAACTCCGTCCCTGGATAAATTGTCATCGACTTTGACATACTTTTCAATCCTAGACATAAGCTATTCCAGATCTGTGGTTGGCCTTCTTGTGAGCGACTGATATAGGGGGTTCTCCTTCGGCAACCCGATCTTGAAGAATGCAACAACAATCTCTAGATTGCACCCTTCAACCTCATTCATAGTTTCCTAATAACAATGAGTGTACTCTCGCAAGCTTTCGTTATTCTTCTTTTTTAGCGTCAATAGTGCTCCAACATCCTTCAGCTGCTTGCTGGTCGTTATGAATCGAGCTGTGAACTGTTTGGCTAACTGGGACCACCCATCGATAGTTCCCTTTGGTAGGTTGTCAAACCACTTCATGGTTGATTCTCCAAGACTGCTAGGGAAGATAGTATAAAGTAGGGGCTTATTTTTTTGATGAATGGTCATCAGTTGTCTGTAATGTCTGATGTGCGAGGCTGGGTCGGTCTTTCCGTCATATAATCTGAAGTTCGAGATGGTGAACTTGATCGGAATTCGTTCCTTTTCGATCCAAACTGTAAATGGAGATGACTCCGAACCGTCCCCATATTCTCCTGTCGCTCTTCTGGTCAGATCCCTAGTTGACCTCTGTTCTGGTCTCTTCAGGCGATTGTTGAGTTCCTCGGTAATATACTGTTTCCATGCAACCTCCTCTTGAACCCGAGGTTTCTTCTGCTGGTGACGATCTTCATAGTTGCTTCTGTATCTGTCGGGTTTCCTTTCAGGACTTTCCCAATGGCTTTCCCTCGCACGTTTCTCTTTCTTGGTCAACTCTTTTATTATGGTTTTAAGTTCTTCGTTTTCTTTGATCAGATCTTTTTCCTTGGCATAAGACTTTTTGAACTACTTATCGTGAGCATCAAGTCTGTCTTGCAGGGATTGAACCAACTTCACCAGGGAGTGGGTTTCCTCCTCGGCACGGAGAGATTCACCATGATCTTCAATTTGATGGTTCTGATTCTTTGAGGGCTTGAAACTGGCAGAGGACATATCTTCGCCTTCATGGGATCTAGAAGGGCTTCCTCTTGCTTGAAACCATGTGTTGCTTCCAGGTGGGATAGATGCAGGATTAGAGTCTCCCAATGTGAAACTACCTTTAGGTGATCCGATTGC